TCGAGGCACTTTAGGCCCACTGAACGCCGATGATGACAACTTCTTGACTCGATGGCTTGTTAAGCATGGATGGGATATCAAGATTCAGTGCCACAAAGATTCTGTCATCGAGACAACCCTAGGCGAGTTCCCAAGATTCCTCAGCCAGTGCTTGCGATGGTCGCGCACAACTTGGCGCAGCAACAGCTGCTCGCTCTTCACGGATGGAACAGTATGGAAACGTCAGCCTTGGTGTGTTTACGCTGTCTACATCACTAGCTTTGTCAACTTCGCACTGTTCTACGATGCTGCGCTCTTGTACACGCTATACTACCATACCACTTTTGGCCATAACCTGACAAGCCTCGGATGTATGACAGCCTTCATCGTCTCGACCAAGCTCGTCAAGCTCGTGGCTCACTTCTTGCGCTGCCCCGGTGATGTACTCTTCTTCCCAGGCTATGTCCTGTTTGCATACTACCACAGCCTCCTGAAGCTGTATGCACTGATCACCTTCTACGAGACAGCATGGTGCGGACGTAACCTGGAGGCTATTGACAATGACGTCAGAGACAAAATCCGTCACTGCGTTGACCCTGCCTCTTCGGATCTTCATGCGCTTAAGCAGCTCGTGGCTAAGGCAGCACAGGCAATAACACACCCAAGTCCCATTGCCTCTTGAAATATAACTCAAGAATAGGCAAGCTGGAGCTATTGGAGTTTTCTGCATTTTCACGGCAAAGATGTGCATAATTTAGATAGTAGGGGAAATCTCTTACTTTGGTGGTGGCTTTTTCTTCTCTGGATTTCTTTCAGAGCCTGTTTTATGGCGTTTTGGCCAAACCTTCACGGTATATGCGTTGTGTTTTTTTCAGGTTGATACCACTCATACGGTCCCAAGAAGAGGGATATAGGTAGAGAATCTCAAGTGTGTTCCTTTATCTCTATGCATTTATCCTACATCTATTATATTTGGTCTATTTTGGGAACTAAGGGGGGTGTTGGACCTCCCTTCCCCGCTTCCCCTGAGCTTCTGATGGTATATGGATAACTAATTGGGGTGTTCCTTGGAAACTCCACTAATATATAATACTAACAGAACTAACGAAAGGTATCAGAATAACATGAACAAATTACATACCTCCTACACAAGATTACTTGGCTTTCACAAACTGTTGAAACAAAGACGCCCAGCCAAGGATTATAAATGATTTTAGTGAGTTTTCCTTTCCACATATTTTGGGATCTGAATCCCTTCTGCATACAACTGGACTAGTCTTCATAACAGCTCTTTCAAACGGCCCCAACTCTTCCCACGTGCCACTTAGCTTAACAGAATTCTAAAGTGCAAGGAAAACAAAACGGTGGATTATTGCAGTACCACATTAGAGTCACTCTTCTTCATCAATAAGTACATATTGCTACAAAGAGCGAACTCTAATACCATATAGAAAGAGAGAGAAAAATAGCACACATACATACTAGATACACAGACCTTAGATATGTGTGCTTGTACTTAGGAAGTTGAACTTACTATAAGCGTTTATTTCTATATAACGTGCTAAATGTATGCCTCAGGTGATAAGTTCACGCTGAAAGCAGCGGCCTCTTCAGTGCTAGTTACGCGCTAAACATTTAGTTAGACCCACCACTAATAAGCCAACACCAAAAAAAGAGAATACATAGGTACCTAACTCAACGCAATGGTTTCTGTGCGAAAGACCGCCAAAAAATGTTCTACTGCATTCTGCGGGAATCGAACCCACGGCTTCAGCTATCAATCGATGGAAGGCTGAAATGTTACCATTACACCAAGAATGCGGGATTACCCAAATGGTTCGATGAAACGCTTCGAAGATAACGGCGTATAAGTAGCAAAGCAATTGAAACTAAGCTTTGCGAAAGTCCAGTATTGCGGCAATATTGTGTGGTAATAATAGATAGGCAAGCTTAAGAGTGAGGATCGATATCGATGGCAAACTGGTTTGCGAGGTAGATAGAATGCTTAGGTATTTATGGACAGCGATGGATGTTAGGAAATCAAATGTCTAATTACGAGAGAGCATGATGGCAGCCGCAGAGTAGGATTTTTTAAATATTGAATGGAAGGAAGCTTAAAACCCTCAGAGAAAGGATATCAGTTCTATAATATCTTTCTACTTAAATTGTTTCGAAGCATCGAAGGGAGATGAAAAGGTTCAGACAAGGCTCTACGCAGGCAGGCAGCTAGCTTGTCTTATCTGGTTGATGTTATGCTACTGTAGAATCCTTATACGTATAGTTCTAGGCTCTAGATACTAGGTCAGCCGCTTACAGCCAAGAATACACAATGGTCTTTACGCATACGGAGTATACAGAGCTATAACTGCTTCGATTCCGGTTTCAATCAAATTGTCCCTTAGTGCTGATCAGGATTCTAATCCTGGCCATGAGAGCGTACCGAACCGCCACAAGTGTGCTAACTGTGAGTACCTCCTTACCTATGTAGGATGTTACAGGCCCAGCTGCAACTCCCATTCGCCCATGCTTGTCTAACCTAGCCGACTTGACTTGTATGCCCTGGTTTAGATAACTTTGCACTGCGTTGTCGGTCCCGACGTCAAAGGGGATGTAGCCTCATCTGAAAGTTCCCTGCATAACCAGCGGAACTTTTTGGTAGAGACTGAACAGTAGCGGCGACGCGAGGTCCCTTCTCTGTCCATTCCTTTCACCTCCCCACCCCCCTCGTCGTATATAGCGCCTGTAATGAGGGCTCATCTTCACGAGAGACCATGCTGAGGTCGTCACAAGTCAAAATTGGAATACAAGACAACATGCTCGTCTTTGCACCCTTGAATATAATTCGTCGCCTCGACGGATCGATTGGTATAGGGACCGTGTTAGACCTCCCCAGTGATGCTATCATCTACTGCACTCTTCGCATAGGCAAAGTAGCTATCGGCAGTTTTTTTTTGGGGTAGTTCAGACTGGGGAGAACCGATGGAATGCGATGGAGAAAGTCCTAGAGACAATAGATACAACGTACGCGAGTAGTTATATAAGGCACGTATAATTCCATGCTCCCTCCTGTTCCCTGGGTATTGCAGAAAAGCATCTCAGCAAGACTACTACTGCCTACCTCTCTTGAATATAACCACCCCCTCAACATACCTCACTACACCTCACCTCCAAGCGCGACTCCGCGTAAACTCTACCAAGGAAAAAAACCCATAACTGCAACCATGTCAGCGCCCCTTCCCCTTCCCCTTATCTTCCAAACCCCCGGAAGCTGGAACTTAGTACTAGAAAAGAAAAAACTCGCTGTCGTCTGACCCGCTGATGTGCTATATAGGTGCGTGTACATCCTCAAGACCACGAGCGGGGGGAAGATCTACCTCAACACGCGGACCGACGCCTGGCCAAGCAACGCGCTGTGGGAGGGCGCGCAGAAGAGCTCCAACTGCGGGGATTCCGGGTGCGAGTACAATGAGTGATGGAAGGGATGGGATGTTCTGAATGGAGGGTTGTGATAAGAGGGGAGGGGGAGGGTATGTCTGATGAAGGAGCGAGTTTGGAAGAAAAAGGGGTATCTGGAAATAGGTTAGGTTAGCTACTTACGACATGCGTACGTAGGAGACTAAGTAGCTACATAATGGAAGTGATATCCCACGATAGGGGTCGCTGTATGATGGTTCCCAGGTGACGAGTAGAACATAGGCTCTTCGTGAGGCCGCAGGCGAGTACAGTGGTAATCTAGGGTGGGAGTGTCTGAATTAAGAGTTGTGTCGAGTTTTGATAGACTGTCATAGGCCATAATAAATAGAATTAAAGAGGAAGGTTCAGTATATGAGTACGTTGGGACATAGGAGTGGCTATGATGTGGAGGATAAGGTAGGTGTTATGAGGACTTGTATTCTGACCTCCTATATGGGAAATAGATCACCTAGTGTCTCGGGATATCATATAAGATATAAACTAGATATACGCACGGATAGAAGAAGAATTCAAACATGGCTTGTGTTCTGTTGGTATGTATGGTTACCGCCCACCCTACGGTCCTGTACTACCTACTATGTAAATATATATCTAGGCGTACCCTTACTTTCATTATCTCCTTGACCAAAACAGCTCATATAATTTCCTCATATTTATCTTATGCCAATAAGTATATATCCCTTTGTTGCCGGGTTATCGGCCTTAGTGTAACCAGGGTTGAATATGAGCACGGGATACAAGGAGCTAGAACAATGATTTGAGTAGAAATCTGTTATTAGAGAAATGCCTCGATGATATGGTGAAGGAACTACTAGTATAACGGTTTTAAGGGGAGAAGTATCTGGATCTTTACATATGGTCTACTCTAGAGGCTCATCGGAATTTCAGGAGAACTAAAGAAATCTATGGGCCTTGTAAGAGGCACCTCAGAGAATATCAACACATTGACCAAAGGTCAACGAGCTCAGGTGGAACTATATAACACTAGTGTATGGATTACACCAATAATGAGGTTTATAGGTATTATGTATTTCGTGTGTGTACGTAAAGGTGTATTATGTTAAGGTATAGGAGGGTGTTGGAAATCTTTATAATATAGGGTGGTTAGCTATGGAGGCTTCGGTTCAAGAACATCCCTTAGAATATCAACTATGGTAAATAAAGTAACACTCATTGAGACCCTAGTTTTTTGATTAGCATTTCATATATTTTTGCTCCTGAGCTGTGGAAGTGCTTACATCCGTCAGTGTCCAAGTCTCAATTCTATGTCTATTACGCCCCCACTAACGTTATATACATACCATATGTATGATGGTAGACTTAGTCACATCAGAGCACCTATATCAAATTACTGTTAGAACACACATGTGAAGAAATGAACATAATAAAAGTTCACAAAGTTAATCCATCAATGGTGTTGAACCCAGACTGCTGAAGGTTGGCCAAGTTTAGCGTTCCTCAAGACCCCTCCTTTCGGCCTTTTTCAACAGTCTTTTACTTAATCCCCTTTAGCGTAAAGAATTAATATCCCTGAAGCAAGACGTAACGCATTCTTGGTGTAATGGTAACATTTCAGCCTTCCATCAGTTGATAGCTGAAGCCGTGGGTTCGATTCCCGCAGAATGCAAGATCATCTCATCTCTTTTGAACGTATTTTTTTTTTTTGGTTGGTGTGTACAGTTGTTAATATTCCCATGTTCAATCGGCTGTGTTGTGTTAGGTATAATTTTTTATGTATTGAAACTCTTGCCTATTTAACCTCATTTTCTCCTTGATAAATTATAAATTGCTATGCTATTCCCTTCTTCTAAGCGGAGGCTTCTGCTAGGATGTCTACATTAGGTGCTGCTATTCTCCATATTGTAAAGTGATAATGAGGTAGTAGAGACAAGTCTGTGTGAGATAAGGAACTCTATTTTCCAATGGGGAGCTGTGGTGGGGGAGAAAACGCACTGACCACTATTAAAAGCGTTGCCGCTGTCAATTTCATCATTAGCAGCAACCTTATTAGACTAAACCTAGAACCCGCAAAGCAACCTTACGTAGCAAACCACTTTCAACTTCTTCCAAGTATTCTCCTTACTAACTTCACTTATACAATATACAAGATGCGTACCGGTAAGCTATACCAAGCTAATCACTATGCACCTACCTAATACCTTTGCGACTCCTGGCTAGTTGGTGATACTGATCTTGAATTTATTGCGCTCACACTTATAGACTTCAAGTTGCTCGGAAGCTAGGATTGGACATTCATTGGAAATGACCTTGACGGGGTCCTAGGACTTCCCATACGCATTTAATATCACACACCACACCACATATTCTCATAATGCAGCAGCGCAGAGGCCTACTCCGGCGCCTCCTCCTCTTCCGCCCCGTATTGAAGAACCCCACCAGCTCGACCAGCTCGACCAACTCCACCAACTTAACCCGCCCCTTCACGAGACACAACAATCTTGTATCCCACCTTCGTCCGCAATTACCCTTCCTCTCCGTGCCTATAGCTGCTCGTAACCAGCAGTTCCGCTACCTGACCACCGAGCGGAAGCAATGGCTGAAATTTGAACTCTTACTGGCGTTGAAGTACACTGTATATGGTTGGGCTATCCTCGGCTTCGCTACCGTCGCCTACTTGACTCTACAACAGGAGTGGCTTGAACGCCAGTACCCCACGCCGCATGAGTGGGCGCTCTTGACGAGGCTGCGCTTCCGCGTGGCCAAGTGGGTGCCTGACCGGCAAGGACAAATAGAGACCGACTGGGTGAAGATAGGAAGCTATGCGAAAAATGTGATTGAAAGGCTTGAGGATGAGGAGATTGACGGTGCTGGACTGCAGCGTTTGGTAGGGGATGACGCTGTGGCGGGCGACTTTGCCAGCACAGCCTACGATACCACCGCCAAGAGCGAGCCCTGGAGACGGGGATACTATGAGGCGCTGATGCTATGCGCAAAGGCTGCTGAGCAACTGGATGATTGGGTTGTGGATAAGACTCGCCATCTTGTGTTTCCTGCGGTTCAGGTACTGGGCCCATCGAATCCCAACCCGAAGCCGATCGCTTTCGGCTCCCCGAGCGCCCCCCACGAAGACGACTGCGAACCCGCCTTTATCAAACCCGATGGCCTTTACATGAAAATTCTGAAGACGCGGGGGTTCACGCCGAAGCAGAAGCTAGACGCAGCTTTGGAGTACGCAACATGGCTGGATATTAAGACCTCCCCCGAAGCGGCTGAGAAAATGTACGAGTGGGCGCTGTCGCTTGCGAGCGAACGCTTGCCCCCGGAAATGTGGCCGTACGATACAAAAACATATGTTCTACGGGACGATGGACCTGCGCCGTCGACGAACGTGCTCGTCGTCCTTACCCAGTTAGCCGCACACAAAGCTCGCCATGGCGACATTGCCACAGCTCTCCCGATTTTGATATCTATACTGAGGGCACGCCGGGCACTACCGCAATATCATTCGGAAAGTAAACGTTCATTTTCATCGGGCGAGTGGTGGGATCACAGTCACACCTCTCCATGGACATGGTCTAATATGAAGAGAGTTGCCAAACACGTGTTCTTTCCACTTGAATATCCACCACCGCCGGACGACGGAGAATCACCGCCCATACGGGACGCGCAGGAGCTCTGCGAAGAAGCAGGACTGAACCTATACATTGGCGAAATCATTTACGCGAACAAAAGTGGTAGCTCCTCGACTAGTCGCGAGGACGGTCTAGCGTGGACGCGCGAGGCAGTCGACCTTGCCGAGGAGCAGCTGCATAAATTAGGCACGCCCAGTGAGGATAATAGCAAAGCCGTGATGGCGGCGCGGAAAACCTGCCGCGATTGCCTGAGTAGCGGGCTCGATAACTGGGCTAAGATGGTGGGCCGCCTCGCGAGGGAGGAGCGGGAGAGGGAGGAACACCAGCAGCGTGGGTCGACGAGTTGGCTCGGCCTATGGGGCGAGGGCCGACCCGAAATAGACACGCCTGGCAGATGGACCGCAGAGGAGAATGTAGTCCGCGAGCGGACGAGACGGGCGCAGGAGGTTTTGGAGGAGCTAGAGGCGCCGCAGACGGTCCTGGCCAATTTGTTCCAGGCGTAGTAGGGAATAGGATATGGGTGCATATGGGGCCAAAGTTTTATGGAAGTCTTTTCTAGTCAGCCATACGGGTCGTTCCCTTGTCCGCACTTTTTCTGAGGCACATAAATGGGTGGCACACACGCTCGCACATATATTGACAATAACTGACGATGCTGATGGATGGGAACCAGAGCCAAGGTCGGCTTTCTTCGAGTTGTTTGATCACAAATCATTTAGGTCTACTCTCGCTGATATGTACTAAAAGGTAAATATGTTGCGCAGTTATTGGATGGGCAATTATGTTTTTACATTTCATGGCGAAATCCAGAGTTAATGAACCAAACGAGATGGGAAGAACAATGCTTTTTGCCTGTATTCTTTGTGGTGAACTACCTATTCGTGTCAAGTGAGCATCGATTAAACACCATATCATCTAACCTAGGTAAGCACTGAGATCTTTACCGCGGTAGCAGAAGAGAAGAGAAATCGAAAAGCAAGCGTCCTAAATATCAAAGTCTCAAAGTCGACTTTGACCTCCTCCCCTCCCCTCTTATCCCCAGATCCAAGCACCTAGGTATCTAACCAGCCCCTTTTTAATCCTCATCCTCGCTATCACTCAGCGTATCGACTCTCACCACAAACTTATCATCCCCCTTCTTCTTCCTCTCCTCCTCCTCCTCCTCTCGCTGCTTCTTCCGCTCCTGAAACTCCTCTACCCACGGGCTCCAGTCGGGCTCGGCCGCGTCGCCGGCGCGGACAGGATCCGAGTACAGCACGACGACCTCGGGGTTGCGGTAGTGCGGACCCGCGGCGGCCACCTCCCGCAGCCACTCGACCACCACCCGCCGCCCCGCCACTAGCCCGCACTCTACGTGGTGCGCCTCGCCGCTGCTGAACACGGGACACCCGTAGGAGGTGAAGGTCGCGGTGCGCGGGTTGCCGTCGGGGCCCGAGAGCGTCATGCCTGCGGGCTCGGGGGAGGGAACGTAGGCGCGGGCGCGCTGGACGGGGGTGTTAGTCAACTTGGGTAGTCCTTTCTTTTCTCTTCTTCCCTTGGGGAGGAAAGAAAAGGAGAAAGAAGGAAAGAAAGAAAACTCACCGCCCGCAGAAACTCCCGGAACCCGTCCACCCGCACGTCCTTCACATCGCGCATGCCCCCCACGCTCGCCAGACACCCCATCCGCGGCCCCCAGCGCTCCCACACCCCCGGCTGGTCCAGATACGCGCACGCCAGGTCCGCGCCGTCGCCGACCCCCACGACGTCGAGCACGGCGCCCGGGGCCGCGAGCCGCGGCACCACCGCCTCGAACACGTAGCGCACGTGCTCGCCCGGCGTGCGGTTCCCGGGCACGTTGTCCGCGGGGGCCGGGACCCGGTTCCCCGCGTGCGCGGCGCTGGCCATGGGCGAGTCGGCCAGCGCGGTGCGCGAGAGCGTGCGGCCTTGCGAGGGCGACCAGAGGAGGGACCCCGGCGAGGCGAGGATGATGCCGGGGTTTGGGGTGGGGGCGGAAAGCAGATCCCGCACAAAAGCGACCCACGATCCGGCGTCGATCCCGCCTTTCCCCCCGATGACCCGGTGCGCGAGCACGCCGAGATCCTGCGTGGTTTCGCCGAAGAGGAGGGCTACGCGGGGCGCGGTGGAGAGGTCCCGCGAGGTGTAGATGCGCAGGTGTGGGGTGGATGGGCTGGGGATGACGCCGAGGGGGAGGTAGGTGGGCTGCAGGCCCAGGGCGGAGAGGCGCGCGAGGATTAGGGACTGGAGGGCTTCTGTGGTGGGTTAGTTAATGGGAGGAGGGGGGGGGGGGGGGGGGGTAGATAGAGGGGTGGAGAGACAGACGGTTCATGGCGAAGCGCTGCCGCTCGTTCCAGCGCGGGTTGCGGTTCAGGAAGAACTTGAAGTAGCGGTCCGGTTCGGCGATGGAGCGGACCTCGTCGTCTTCGTTGACGAAGTAGCTGCGAGGGAAGGTTAGTGTAAAGTAATTGAGCATGCTGATTGTCTATGTGCGATGTATAGGAGAGGGAAAGGGAGGAAGTAGATACATACCCGAGTTCCTTCAGATCGCTGGGGAAGTGAGGGTCTGCGGGGAGACCTGACCACTTTCTCTTGAACATCCTGGGCAAGTGATGTTTGGGATACTCTCTTTCTATCTCTCTTCTACTGGTGTTGGTGGGAGTTGGTGAAAAGGGGATGGGGTTGTATGGATGAAGGAGGACAATGGTAGGTGCAGCAGAGAGTAACTAAAAGTGTTGGTCGGTCACTCCTTAGATGCAGTTGCCTCTTTCCTGATAGCTTAGAAGCAAACAAAACCTTCCGGGGTAGTGTTGTTCCTAGGAGATGTATGGAAAATATATGGTACCTGGGTCGATACGCTACGATCAGTAGCAGGAGGTGGTCCTTCCAACCAGCACTAACTAGTAGATAGTTTCAGGTGTTGATGAGTAGAAGTCTACCTAGGTATTGGTACGATGCTTCCACTGGAAAACGCTATGTCTTTTTACCAAAGCCTTGGGATTGCAATAATAGAGACAATGCAGCGTTGCGAAGTGACAAA